TATTCGAGTGACAACGAAGCAGAGGAAACAACTGTCTCTCTGACCGATTTACTGCAGGATGTTGTAAAAAACAATAGTTCACTTCACAAGCAATTGAAAAATGGAGAGATGGAGAGCGCAAAAGTTCTTAGGGAACTCTCTAAGAAGATCGATGTTTTGGCAAACAAGCTAGACGAAAGAACTGTTGAAGGGACATCAACACAAGCTAGAACTGGCACTACAAGAAGAGTCAAGTCAAAACCTCAAACGCCAAAACAATGTCGAGTAAGTAAAGATATTTTAAACTTTAATCAGCTATCATAAGGTGTTTTCTGAATCAAAATTATTACTACGTTCGCTACTAAAAGAAATGCGATGCAGCCAAGTTATTGTTCGTTTGAACAAAGCATGCGATCAAATGGCGTCCGTTGTATATCCTTTATCGGCTGTAATTTCTAAATGTTTAAGTTAAGGAGGACCGTTTGATTTCGGGCATCTTGTTTTGATRGCTTTGCCGATTTCGGTTGTTCAAGGAGATAGTATATTTTTGAGATAAAGATCTTTCTCCGAAGCGCTTCCATGCAGCAATTGAGCACAGGGAACCCAAGCAATAACTAACACTGTCAGTCACTTTTAAAAACAGTTTTTATAGAGGGGGTATTTTTTTCCTATTTATGATGCTTTATAATGTCAAATAAAATGAAAGTATAACRGTTTGAGATGTTTTAATGTTGTAGATTCAAAGTTATTGCTTGGACTCCCTGTGTTTTTTAGTAGTATTTTTTTGTATGCCAAAGATTGGCAGTTATATCAGTCCTTCAATTGTTTTTCAGTTATTTTTTTTGCTTGCTTTCTGGTGTTATAACATAAGCTTATATTCTTATATAAACATTGGAGAAATGTACTCAAATAAACATGTTTTTTAGACTGACAGTCGTGATGTTTATAACACACTTCTCAAAGATGACCCTGACTTTGAAGGATTTCAGCTAAGAGAAAGGTAAGTTAAAAATAAGGATATAAGATTATTTGTGTTTCTAAAGGTAGCAACATTTCTTGTATAAAATTGTTATCATTTTATCATTGAACAGGTTATCATCACCAACAAATAGAAAAGKCCTTGAAAGATTAATCAACAGTGTTGTTATGGACCAGGGGGGTGATGCCAAATGCCCATATAGCAAAGCTGAAATAAGAGGTTTGTCAACTACTAAAATCATTTTTTTTTAAATAACTGACTGATCACTGCTAAATGTATCATATATTTTGGTTGACCACAAATTGAGTGCAGCCAATAAACTGATGAAAGGATAGCACTTTATCTTTCTGTGCTAATGCTCCATTAATTGTTCTTTGAAATTCATTCTAAGAGTTCCTATTTAATCATCTRTTAAACTTTATCCTTCTTGTACAGTTGCTCTTTCAACGTATTACAAGTCTCTCAAAGACAATAGGGGGCGGAAGCCAAAGAAAGATGGCACAGATCACAAAATGACATGCAGAAGGCAAAACCGCTTGCGAGAGGTGAGATAAATACATTACATATATGTTTAAAAAAGATACTTTGTTGGAGTAGAGTAAAGGATTCAGCATCTGTCCTCTTATTACTTATAATTTCCATGTTTTTTCAAGGTAGATTATTATAATTAAATCAATATTTATCACTTATTTTCATAGAAAATTGCAAGACGTTTATGGGCCGTTGAAAAAATGCAGGTTTCGGAAAGAGCAAAGGAGCATGCTACAGAATGCCTTTCATTAATGGAGTACAATAGCTCTGATGAGAGTGATGTTGACGAGGTAAATGGCAAGAAGTATTTTTATACTAAAAAACTGCCATGGGAAAGCGAARGCTTAAAAAATGTCAAAGCCAATGCAGACAAACTCTACAAAAGGGACARTGGGGTTTACCTCTATACCAAGCGCCTTAGGCACAAGGACTATTCAAAACGACCTGTACCAGACAGCCCAATAAAATGGGCTGTCAAAACCTCTAAAAAGTCATTGGACTTTGATGAGTGAATTTCTACATAATATTTTATTCTTTTTAGTTGAWATTATTATAGAGTCCACTCGCTTAATCCAAGAAAAATAGATAGCACTATTTGCCAAATGAACATGCTAATAACATAAATTACTTGTTTACATTATCAAAGCAACACTATTTAATGGAGTGGTTTTCATAAACTTGTCAAACAAACTTTGTGTGTTTTGGAATATTAGAATTACATATTCTTGTCCCCTACACTGTAATTATTACACTTTGCTTCACATGTTAATGAAAACCCCTCTAGTAATTCTGTGCTATTTATTTTTTGAATATTTTTATTGAAAAAGATGTTTTTATTAGTATTATTTATTCAAATTTTAATTCTTTTTAATA